ATAGTTGGTTGAGGTACTATGCTACAAAACGGAAGGTCGCTGGTTCAAGTCCCGATGAGGTCATTAGATTTTTTCAATTGACCTAATCCTTCCAGCCGCACTATGGCCCTGGGGTCGACTCAGCCTCTAACAGAAATGAGAACCGATGTCAAGAAAACGTGGATCTATACATCAGCTCCCCCATGCTTCTTCATAGAGCAGTACTTAATTAGTTCAGCACGCCGACAAATTTTCCTTACCTTGTTTATTTATTTAACCCATAGACGAATAATTCGTTAACTGCATTCGGTTAATTTAGCGATTACGAAATACATACTTCAAAATTTTCACAGAACAGCCGCGTCATTATATTACATCTGTTGCCTGTAACTTCGAGTCCCGGTAGGATCATGAATTATCTCTTCTCCACGTCTTCCAGACCGGCTCTGGGATCCACCCAACCTCCTACTCAGTGGGTACGGTGGCTCTTTCTTCGGGAGTAGGGGCGTGAAGCTGACCACTCACCTCCATCTAGTGTCAAGATCAAAAAAATATGGATCTATATAATAACTCCCCTATATGCCTTCATGGCTTAGTGCTTAATTAGTTAAGTACAGGAGCAATTTTACCTTTTTTAACCTTACAAATATTGTGTTTCTGGACATTATCCATCATCTTATCTTTTTCTAAAAAACATAATATTTATTTTTAAGGTCTTTCATTCTGGTCCGTCACACTAACCAATTAACAATCAAGTTCCTTCCGTCAAATGTGACACTTTTTTAAGTGACACAAGCATCACAACACACAGACAAGCAACATCAACTACCGACAGACAACACACGTCAACAACATCCCGAAGCAAAAAGATTGGGCCAAGCGGGAAAGAATTCTAGGGATTTTAAGAATTCTTACTTCAAATAACGAAACATAATTTTACAGAATTAACGACGAATCAAATAAGGAAGCTACTGTGGTGTGTGAAAAACTTTTAGTGAACCGACATTCTGGGTAATTTTAACTATTTGTAATTATTTTAATTAACTGGAACGTGGCTATCTTGGACAAAGTGAAGTTTTGTGTGTTGGTGATTTCTTTTTCTACTATAAATGCCTCTGATGATGGCTCCGTGGTGAGCCGAAACATGTAAGGCAGGTGCTGACGAGGTGGAAAACTTAAAAAAGTGTCACATTTGACGGAAGGAACTTGATTGTTAAATAATATTTATATTACAAAACAAAACGTTTCGGAAACTGGATTCTGTATTCGTCTTCAGCCAAAACCTACTCAGTTGGTCCTAATTAAAAATTCTCTGGTGCAATACCTCAAACGTATGGCGTTTTTAATATTTTAATATTTTGCCTTACCTCTCGCAAATGGTTTGTGCTGTGCTTGGCCTGTATATCCTGTCTGGAGATCGGGACTAGCTCTATCGATTGGGCGCAACTGAGTAGGTTTTACCTGAAGACGGAGACAGAATCCAGTCTCCGAAACATTGTGTTTTGTAATACAAACATTACAGTGATTTTAGATAAAGACAGGACGATGGACAATGTCCAGAAACACAATATCTGTGTAACGTGCGTCGTCACAGACTTTGAGATCACTTTTTTAGATGGTTTCTCCACTACTGAACCAGGAGGTCAGCTTTAAGAATACGAGTTGTATCCCAGGAAACAGAACACAAAGGCTGACAGGATAAATCCCACAGACTACGGAGTGATTCTCACAGTACCGTGTTATTCACGGCGACTATCTATCTAGCTCTTCGCTTGTTTTCTCCCTATCTATCCACCTATCTATCAATCCATCTATCCATCCATCCATCCATCCACCTATCTGTTTATCTATCTATATATCTATCCATCTATCCATCCATCTATCTACGTACCTACCTACCTACGGCTCTACAGTCCTTCGTTGGACCTTAGCCGCTTTTCCAACTTCTTAATCCTATACACATAACTTGTACTCTTCTCCAAGTACATGTATAATTAGAATGATCAAGTCAAGGAGGATGAGGTGGGCAGGTCATGTAGCACGAATGGTGGAGACGAGGAATGCGTATAGGATATTGGTGGGAAAGCCAGAAGGAAAGAGACCACAGGAAAGACCAAGGCGTAGGTGGGCGGACAATATTAAAATGGATCTTAGAGAAATAGGATGGGATTGGATGGGATGGTATGGATTGGATAGATGTTGCTTAGGATAGGGACCAGTGGAGGGCTCTTGTGAACACGGTGATGAACCTTCGGGTTCCATAAAATGCTGGGAATTTCTTGAGTAGCTGCAGAATTGGCGGCTCCTCAAGAAGGGCTCAGCTCCATGAGTAAGTAAGTAAGTAAGTAATCCTATACACATTCGGTAGGACTCTTGGACGAGGGATCAACTGGTCGGATGGCCGTTACCTACACACAGAGCAACACAAATACAGAATAAACGCAGACAGACATCCATGTATTGACTGGGATTCGAACCCATGATCCCAGCTTTCGAGCGAGCAAACACACTTCATGCTTTAGACCGCGCAGTCACTGTGATCAGCCTCCAACAAACTTGTCCACCAAACTAGTTGAAATAATCAAAGTAGAACTCAAACAATAGTTCTATCCTCTTCAGCAGTAATAAACGACCGCCTCTGTGACCCAGTGGTCAGAAATCCTGGCTACAGATTCAGAGGTCCGGGTTCGATTCACGGAGCTACCAGCTTTTCGGAGAAGTAGTGGGTCTGGAACGGGGTCCACTCAGCCTCGTGAGGATAATTGAGGAGCTACTTCAAGGAAATAGCGCACCGGTCTAGAAAACCGAAATTAACGGCCATGGGGATTCGTTGCGCTGACCACGCAACACCCTCTATCCGCACTAATTTCGCCGACAAGCTGAGATAACTCGGTCGGTATAGTTCGCTTACGGACTGCAAGCCACGGAGGTTTTTTTTTTGTCAATAATAATAAATCCTGCACACTTCCAAACCGGGACCATGTCTGAACTTACAGAATCTCACAGACACCAAAAGTCATTTAACCTGAGCGGAAGAATTAAGGATTGTAACAATGTATTACATGTAGGTGGTTAGAATACTGGGAGGGTCACTAACCCTTCATTCATTCATTCATCAGTAATCTGTCAGACGACAGGTCCACAGTCTCTCCCAAAACAGTTTCTCCACTTAATGCGATCTAGAGATTTCTCCTTCAAATGAGAATATCCTCTTCTGTCCCAAAGGTCATCCAGCATCTTCTTACGTCTTCTGGTTCGCATACATGGTGTCTCTGTGTTTGGAAAGAGACTATCCAGGAAAAGTGATAATGTGGTAGTTTTTCCATTTGCTTTCCACATCGCAGTACAACAGCCGTTCAAACCACTCTGGTCACGCCTGTTGCTATACGAACTTGAACCATCTCGAGCATCATTTGCTCTGTGCTTCAAGTCGCTACTGATGACGCTGCTTCCGGCATCAGTTTTTGGTTTTTGGTGTCCCTCTTCGTCTGATGCCTACCCTTTGACCTGTCCAGCAAAGGAGGCCCTGCCAGTAGTTACGCTACCGCTGGTATAGCTCTCAGGGTCCTTGGCATACTCAAACCCCCTCACCACGATAAGGTGGAGGCACCCTATCCCCCATTATTCCGTTCCTAACGATCCTGTCCTTTCATGGTAGAAATTCTTGAACTATCAATCGAGTTCACATTGGATTGAATTTTGGATTGCTTCCCAATGGCCTACCTAATTCACATCGCAACTCTATGATATACAATTTTCACTGAACAATCAATACGTGTTTGTTTATTAAGAAAGATCTCTAGTCTTACAAACTAAGCAGTTTCATTCTTGTTACAACAAAACTCGGCTACAAGAATATTAGAACTATTCCAACTCAGTCTGATCCACTTCACGTTCGTGTGGCGGGTTTCCTAAAATTTAATTTTAATATGAGGTAACTCCACCACTGGATCCTGTCCCGAACTGGTTCATGTCATGCCGTACGTCTTTAAGCTCCATTTTATTGCTGTGTTTCTGCTTCCGCATGATCTCCTGTGTAGTGTCCTCCCTTGAAGAGTGTCAACCAACGTTATGTAGTACACACTGATCCCTTCTCCCATGTCAGCTTGTGTCCTATTCATCATATCCTTCTTCATATAATCCTAGAAATACTATAAATACTAAGAGGACTGTAAATTACAAAGTTCTTCATCGTGAAACTCCTAAATTCTCCTACCAAAATATTTCATATTTCACGAGACCAAATATTATTTTCAGTACATTTTTCTGAAAAGCCGATCACAGTGGCCGCTCAGTCTAAGGCATGAATTGTCTTTGCTATCTCGAACACTGAGATCGTGGATTAAAATCCCACACAAAGAATGGATGTCTGTCTGTGTTTATTCTATGTTTGTGTTGTTCTGTGTGTAGTTAGCGGCCTTGAGACGGGCTATCCCCCGTCCAAGGAGTTCTCCTGACATTTTTAGGATCAAGAAACTGAAGTGAAACAAAGAGTTTCACGGATGTCCTATGCTACAAAGTAGGAAGAACAAGAGAGAGAGAGAGAGTTCTTAAACACCCTTAATCTGTGTTCCAGAACAAGAGACAAATTTATGTTTTATATTTATGTTTTTGTGAGATGTTGGAAGATGAAGAAATGCAGCTGCTGAATTATTGAATGTTCTACGAATCTGCAGAGTGTTTTTTTTTTCATGTGCTTCAGCTGCCGTTCGTAAATCAATATCTCATTAAATATTGCCAGTCACTCTGAAACAGTCTGTGTGCAACGGTTGCTAGGACATGGATATTCTATCACTAGAATAGAATTATAATCCACTGAATATAAACTAGCGTTCAAAATTTGATATTCTCTCCCCCTAATAATAGAGAACAATTTAACAACAGGTAGAATCGCCATATTTGCCAAGATAATGGTGATCAGATTACAAACAGGTTGCTATGGTTACAACAGGCTCAGCAGAAGCCTGAGTCTCCCAGGGAACCGAGTGCGCCGGTCGTTATAGGCAGCTGGGAGCGGAAAAAGTGAAACTTCCCCGGTTCTGTTCTTCCTGACCTCGTACTCTACTCCGCAGCAGTTTCCGCTGCTGCCCTCGCTCTGGTGTTCGGAGACGGACGCGAGACAGTAACCGGAGTTTCGACGTGGGATTTACACTACAGTGAGTAACAGTAATTAAACCGTTTATTCAGGTTAGGAGCATTAATCGCTACCTTCCCCTTGTGACAAGACCGTTTTCCTGTAAATGTACACTGTTTTGACGTCATCATTAACATCTCTATCTATAGTCACATTATTAGAGTGGTATTTATCATGTAGTGGGCTTTACGTAGCAATAATACAAATTAAGAGGCCTTAGAAAAAGAAAAGATACTTACAAATTTTCTGATGAGGATACATGTTTTCCATCATCAGCAATAATCACGTTAATAAACTGGTCCGAAAGATTGCAGTTTTGATTCCCGATGAAGTCATTGGAGTTTTCAATTTACCTAATCTTTCAGCCGCACTATGGCTCTGGGGTCGACTCAGCCTCTAACAGAAATGTGCGCCACGAATCTTCCTAGGGGTAAAGGGCAGCCGGCGGTTAAATCTGACAAATTCATGGCTATCTGTGAGTCGATTGTCTAGAAAATATGAGAGCCTTGACGTCACAACTTTATGGACCTTCACGGCCTGTTACAGGGATAGGTTTACCTTTTAAATATCGTACTTACAGTAACACATGTTTTACAGCTAGAAGTAGAATGTCCTTTATGGAATGTTATTTGAATTATTATTGTTATTATTATTATTATTATTAGTAGTAGTAGTAGTAGTAGTAGTAGTAGTAGTAGTATAGTAGTATTACCAATCTCAAGATAACTAGCTACCTTCTCAGTCAGAAGCTCCTCAGATTCTTAACCTAGGAACTAGATGAAAGCGGGTGACCACCTTCACGCTCAGGCCGCTTTAACCGCTATATCCCCCATAGAGTCGTCCTGCATTCCGTATTCACATGTGATGAAATGGATCAAGAATTTTTCGGCCAGAAAATATATTCTACATGGCCTAGAATTTTTCCATTAATATGGGCTTTATTTTGTCCTAAATCATGTTTTAGATTGTGTCTGTAACTTGTTCAACCATTAGACTTATCTCACTTTTTATTCGGGAGTGAAACTTGGATTTTCACGTTAAGCAGAAACTATAGAAAATATCGAAGGTGAAAATAATATACAGTTCATGTAACACGCATGTAGTAGTAGGTAACAAGTTGTGCAATACTTTGGTAGGAAAATCATGAAGATGATGTAGACGTAAGTTGGCGAATAGTATTGTCACGTGTTTCAGTGACTGAGACGCGGGTTTGGATTGGTGAATCTTCATTAGTCGTAACTACAATTAGTTCTTGACCTCTGAAGATTACTGTAAGTATATCACATGTAACATCGCACACAAAGTCTTTTAATTCTTGTTCTGGCCACACTGCTGTTCCCTTGGAACTTCGAAACTCAAGTTAAATTAATTTCCATTCGCGTATTCTCTCATATCCTCTCGGCAGGGACCATGCACAGAAAACACAGTTCTATTGTTTCGTAGCGTAGACTTGACAGAAAACATGTCACGTGCTAGCTATCTCGCCAGTCCATTGGCGCGCTGATTGTTGACTAACAACAAGCTATTAATATTCGTTTTCTTGTTGCGTGACCTTACGCGAGAAGGTGTTTATCGCGCAGTTGTCTAGCTATACACGTTACAGTATTAAAATACGTGTATATGGGTGTCCGTATGTAGACTGGATTGAACTAACTAAGGATAAGGCCCAGTGGTGAGGTTTTGTGAACACTAGAACGAATTTTCGTGGTCCAAAATTATGATAATATATTGTAAATAGGTTCCTTCATACATCAGCTGCTCTAATCCAAGGGAAAGAGGCCCAGGTCAGGTTGATGGAAGGTTTGGGTGGCCTCGAAGGTAAAAAAGAAATAGAGCTATCCCTGTAAGAGGCCGTGGAAGCCCGTAGGGTTGTGAGACGTCGAGGCTCTTACATTTTCTAAATAATCGGATAACAGATGGCTGTGAAGTCAGCCTTACGCGCCGGCCGCCCTTTTACCCCCAGGAAGATTCCTAGTACTCAGTTCTATTAGAAGCTGAGTTGATCCCAGTGCCATAGTGCGGCTGGAAGGGTTAGGTAAATTTAAAAATCCACCTCATCGGGACTCGAACCCGCGACCTTCCGGCTTGTAGCATAGTGCCTCAACCAACTACGCTACCACGTGCCCCCTCATTTAAGTCTAAAACATTATATTTTATTGCATACCTTCCTAATCCAAGCTACGATTATAATATTATTACATTATTAGTGTTATTTCATCTAATAACACAGTGTCCATAAGTCTCCGTGATGTTTCAGCCACTCTATCGTGAGATTTTTTCATTTATTTTCAGTACTTTTAAATAAATTAATTAGTATAAATTTGCGCTTTTTAATCGATTGACAAAACAAACCAATATATGATATAAAAATCAGAAAATTGAGCGTGTAATTAACATGTAAATGCGTCTGTGATTTTTTAGAGTTGTGCTGCTCTAACTTCATTACACGTTTAAGAACCAGTGAGGATAGGACGACGCCAAGAACTTTCACAGAGTGTTTGGCTCAGCAAACAAAAGCAGTTCGAAACGGCCATATTGCTAGTCATTTCCTTCCGACCGTAAAACTTCCTAGCGTGTTAAATTATTCAGGGTTATAGTAACAAATCATTCCCTCCAAACTCAGTCAATCTCTCACTCGGCCACTGGAACTACTGAAGACACATAGAAACTGTTATATAACTTCCAGCAAATCCTCTCCCAGCTCCGTACGAATGGGCTATGTCCGCTACGTCGACAATTTGCAGTCCATGAAATAAAGTTGAATTTCCAAGCACAATAGAGCACCAATTGGTATTTGGTTGGTCGGTATGTTATGTTATTTTTAACAGCACTCTAGGCAAAGAGTAGTGAAGGGAAGAAATTCGAAATGTGGTCACGGCAGATTTCCGAACTCTGATTTAAATAATTGTGTTAAATAAGAACTGTCTGGTATGTTACAAGATAAATGAACTTCATTTTTGGATAGACTTGAAAGGATTCTGACGATGGTGTATACTGCACTTCTTTTGGCTTATTTTGGACTTCACCCATCGTCTGGTATGTAAAAGACAAAAAGACAAAAAACCACGACGTTTCGGAGACTGGATCTGTCTCCGTCTTCAGGTGGATAGGGAAGGATAAACCTACTCAGTTGGGCCCCTTAGAAAGAGCTAGTCTCAATCACTGGTCCAGTAGGTTTATCCTTCCCTATCCACCTGAAGACGGAGACAGATCCAGTCTCCGAAACGTCGTGGTTTTTTGTCTTTTTGTCTTTTACATGCCAGACGATGGGTGAAGTCCAAAATAAGCCAAAAGAAGTACAACTTCATTTTTCCTGAGGTACAGTATGCGTTTGTCTTATAAGTTTCCTATTCAAATGGTCTAAAACAAGGAGATATCCAAGAAAACCAGGTTGTACTGAATTTGAACGAGGGACATCAGCTTCTGGTCTGTGCTCGTGATATTAATCTACTAGGACATTAAATAAATACGGTAAATAAAAACACAGAAGCTCTGATTGATGTTAGTACGGAGGTTGGTCTAGAAGCAAATACAGAGAAAGCAGATCATATATAGACGTCTCTTCACCAGAATACAAAGCAAAATCATAATACAGAGATTGTTAACAGATCCTTTGAAAATGCGACACATGTAAAATACACGTATTTGGGAAAGACTGTAAAAAACTCCGTGGCCTGTAGTCTGCAAGCGGACTATACCGACCGAGTGACCGCCTCTTGTCGTCGAAGTTAGTGCCAACTTTAGCGGATAGAGGGTGTCACGTGGTGAGCGCAACGGATCTCCACGGCCGATAATCTCGGGTTTCTAGGCCAAACAAATTAAAATTAGATTATGAGGAAATTAAAAGCACGCTTAACTGAGGTAATACTTGCTACTTGCTGAGCGACTGGTGGCTTTTCAAGATGGACTCATCTCCATGGAGTTGGTAAGTTAATTGGTATAATGTGCACGAAAAAACTGAGTTTTTAAATCTTATTACAGAAGGTAGGATTAATATATTTTGTAGAGTCGAATTATGGGATTATTTGTGAACTGAAAGTGGGATGAAATGTCGTGGTATATTTTAAGCTTCTGTCCTACATACTTCACATAAGAGATGTCTATATTAATTGCCGCGTAATTAATCACACATTGTCACAAGCCTTTACGGAATCATTTGAGGTGTGTATACATTCCTTTGTCGACTGGATGGACATTGCGCTTTTCGGTTTAGGCTACTTCCTTGTTGCATATTCCAGATAAGCCGATCGCAGTGGCAGTGAAGTCTAGAACGTGTATTGTATTCCACCGCTCGAACACTGGGATGGTGGGCTCTAATCCTGGCCAGGGTATTGTTATAATCTACATTTCTCCTGTGTTTGTGTTGTCAGTATAACTTTTGGCCTTGCGGGAGGCTAATCCCACACCAAGATATCTATATGCAATGTTGGATTGCCAGATGATCGTACTTGTCAATAAGCTTCAGTACCCGAAAAAGTGAGAGGTCTTCGAAAGCGTTGCTCTGTCATGCAATTTAAGAACAAGATGTCCGAAATTAAGAATTGCGTGAAACATAATTCTGGACATTGCAATTTATTACGAAGGACTGGTTAACACCAATACTCTAACAGAGATCGAAGACAATTCTGATTAGCATATAAAATGGAATGCACCAATAATGAGTCAGCAGTGTACGGTAAGCCCAGTACAAGGTTGAAGAATGCTGTATTCTGGGATGTGACGGATTGTGGTGTGGCAGGAGTTTACCGACGTTCTGGAGAAAGGTGCTGCCTTTGTCTTGGGGTTCGAAGAGTGAGCTTCTACCAAACTGCATGGTGTCGTATAATTCAGTGCCTGAGCTTTAAGATGTTCAAGGCCGTCAATATGGTGTGTTATGATACATACTAGATTATACGATAGCATAGTCGGTATAGCGACTAGCTACGGGCTGGACGACTTAGGAGTAGGAGTTCGAGTCCAGGTGGGGTCAAGAATTTTCTCCTCTGTACATCGTTCGGACCGGCTCTGGGGCCCACCCAACCTCCTATCCAAAGGTTTCCGGGGGCTCTCTACCCGAGGGTAAAGCGGCAGGGGCGTGAAGCTGTCCACTCACCTCAAACTAATGCCGAAAACAAGAAACTCCAAACTAGGAGACTTCATTGGATTTCTTACGTATATTACACCAATACTACATATTGATAAAAAAATTTGAAAATAAAAAGCTTGGTGAGCGAATGACACAGGTAATATTCCTTTGTTAAAAACGACTGAACGTAAAAGAATAAAATGACTGAGCGTGACGTTTCACTGTGACCTATGAAATATTACAGTTCTACCGCCCGTACAGTACTTGATAAACTGCGTAAATAAACCAATTATTATTTAAAGCTGTCCTACCGACCTTGGAACAATAATAATATCCTGACTGCTAATAACACTGATGGACTGCTCGCCATTGTACCAAGCATAGGAGCTCTTCATTCAGACCTGCGCATGTCAATGAAGCCACTGCAGCATCTGATGCTGAATGTGAGATTATGCTCTTCTGTGATGCTTACCGTCTTGACGGAAAGAGGTTGTCAAAGTAAAAGTAAAGGTATCCCTGTAACAGACCGTGGAGGCCCATAGGGTTGTGAGATGTTGAGGTTCCCACATTTTCCAGACAATCGGCTCATAGATGGCGGTAAGGTTGTCAGCCCTACGCGCCGGCCGCCCTTTACTCCCAAGAATATTCCAGGTACTCATTTCTGTTAGAGGCTGAGTCGACCCCAGCGCCATAGTGCTGGTCATAGTGCTGCAGGATTAGGTCAATTGAAAAAATCCAATGACCTCATCGGAACTTGAACCCGCGACCTTCCGGCTTGTAGCATAGTGCCTCAACCAACTACGCTACCGCGCGTAGCGAGATAATTTTACAGCATGATGCATATTGTGTACCATATCTTCAGTAACCACTCTCCTGATTCGCATATGCGAGACCTCAGTTTCCATACTCGGACCCGCAGAAATATTAATAGTACAGAGTAATTCATAAGTCCCTCCGGGATTTCCAACCTCTGCGCTACAGAAATTCCGGAGAGACTTATGAATTACTCTGTATTTTGAAATTCTTTACACCAGCTTCCTTCTAGTGACCTACATACACGCCGTTTAAGGCAATTCTCCTGTGTCATACAATCCTATAAAACACTTATACTTGAATTAATTAATCTTAAGATCCATCTTATACTTCAGAACTCTCAGCTATAAATGCGTCTACCTGAAGGCATTTGATATTTTTCGTAAGTCGTTAAATTTTTATCCTTGGCTATTTGTGTCGTAAAGAGATTTGTGACGTCAATGAATATGAAGCAACAGTGGATATTGGCAGGAAGTGGAAGGAGAACATCTTGCTAATCTAATATGGTCAGAACCTAACTGCATGATGCTGAATCTTCAAGACAAAATCATACTTATTCAGACGTTCAGGAGTTTGTTAGCCTTTCAGTGAACCTCAATGTCTAGTACCATGTTCACAAGAGCTCGCCACTGACTCTGCCCTGAACCATCTAAATTCGGTTCATAATTTGGTACACTATATTTGTAAGATCCATCTTAATGTTATCCTCGCTGAACGACGAGGTAGAGTGGCTAGCACTCCTGCCTCGTATTCAGGTGGCTCCGGGTTAAAATTTTGGTCAGAAAATAGGCTACCCTGGCAGAGGTGGCTAGAGATTCTCCTCAGTCACTTCAAGCAAATGCTGAGTTAACACGTTAAACTACGACACGACGGCTTTTCCTAAACCTTTCCAATTCATTATTCACTCATCATCCTAATATCAGCATCATATAATAGACCTATGATCTAGTCTATGATGAGGTCATTGGATTTTTTTTTTCAATTGACCTAATTCTTCCGGCCGCACTATGGCCCTGTGGTCGACTCAGCCTCTAACAGAAATAGTACCAGGAATATTCTTGGAATATTCTTGGGGGTAAAGGGATGCCGGCGCGTAAGGCTGACAATCTTGCCGCCATCTATGAACCGATTGTCTAGATAATGTGGGAACCTCAACATCTCACAACCCTATGGGCCTCCACGGCCTCTTACAGAGATAGTTTGACTTTACTTTACATACTGAGCTCCGTTTACCCCCAAATTCTGTTCCGGTGGAAAAGCTATTTCATATCTCAAGGCCAGAGCTCATGTTTCACCAAACCTATTGTACTGGAACGGGATAAGAATTCTCTTTTCCACGTCTCCGTGCCACGGCCGGCCTCATTCCCATGACGATCGGAAGCTCAGTCTGCACGGGCATGATGAGCCATCTACTGAAAGGATTAAGAAATTAAATTCGGGAGAAGAATGTGGATTTCTTTTCACGAAGCTGTAAACTGAAATGTGTCTGTCCGTCGGTGTCCTTCATATTTACTTAACGTCATATGATGTAATGTGATACTGTGGTCTATAGCAAAATTTACCTGGCTTAATTAAGCTCGGTTCGGTCCTATAAATTATGAAATCTGCTTTACTCCGAGTTTGAAACTGAACTTCATCCATACGCCTAATAACGGTCCACTGGACACAGAGACTCATAAAATATAGCTGTCGTTCTCACGTACGTCCAGAATTTTTATTTCAAATATAATTTCTGACTCAGCAATGTACTTAGGTTTTTAACTATGATAAATCAATCTCAAGCCAATGGAATAAATAATAATGGCAAAGAACGAATTCCGAAAATATTTGTACTCATTTGAAATATATTTTTCCGATTTCGTTTTGGTAATACTTTCACTTACTGATATTAGGCAATGGAATATATCGTATTCTCACCAATATACGAATAAAATACGTATATGTTTTGGTCTTTAAACTGCACAATTACACAAATAGCACTGTGCCTTTATCTGGATTAATTCTATAAGAAATATGTTAATGGGTGGTATCAAACATGTACGCCTTATTTATAACACGTGGATACTGTAAGTATTTTGATGATGTACTGGCATATATACACGTCACTAGGCAAAGACCGCGAAAGAAGCAACGAGACAACTACCACTGCTATGCAACAGCTTCGTAAATACGGAAAAATACTGAAGCCGTTGCTAGGCAGCGGCCTGTGCGCAACTGTGGAAATACTGTTGGAAGCGGTGTTTTGTATGTGTCCGCTCCGAGGCTATATCACCCGACCTCCCTAGCTGATTAGAGTAGAGTGAAATTGCAGCGCCTAAAAAACAAGGTTCTCCGCACCATTGGCACCTTTCCAAGGCGCACATCGACTCGCGATTTGCACATGGCGTTCAAAATCCCTTACGTATATGATTCAAAATTATGTAGGCAACAAGCTGAAGTCATACAAAATCATGACAATGAGAATGTTCGCAATATTGGACAAGGCGAAGCCCGACATAGAAAGTATAAGAGGCTTAAACTTGGCGGCGGTCAGGCATACGACCGTTCAAGTGACTAGACTGGCGTTGTAGCGGAAGCTACTAGAAATATGGCATAATCTGCTGTACCGAGCCTGGACTGACAGAGGCCTTGTATATATTGTACATAGAAATAGGAATTAAGATTAAAATTAAATTGTAAATATATGTAAATACTAACAATGGACTTACTAATACAGACAATGACTGACAAATGACAGACCCGACCTCTAGTCAGAGAGAGCGCCCCAAATGGACAGAACAGAAACTTTCATATAAGAAGAAAACATCTGGTCATGAGCCCCAGCTGGGGCTCGACACCAAGATAGACAGACAGACTGACCGACCGTCAGTCGTAAGGTGACTTTGACTTGACTTGAGTGTAGAGTAGTTAGTGCACTGCAGTAGAGTTGAGCGAGTTGGTTTGTGAGTGACTGAGACATAGAACTGCTAAGGTTTAGTCGTTGTGAGCTGTTGCTGTGAGAAGCTGGTAGCTGAGGTCAGGGATAGTTCGGGAACCCAGAGGATGGGGAACGTCCGCCGTTGGAAACCGCTACCGAGCAACGGCTATTTAAGACGTGACTGTGGACACTAGTGTGCGTGTAATAGTAAAATATAAAGTGTAGTCATGCGCTGTATGTAAGAGTCCAATAAACCTGGCTATCAATCCAAAATCCCGTCTGTAGTCACTCAGTCTAGAGAAAATATTCTCTTGTGTAATTACTGCATAATATGGCGACATGATTTTTAGCGATACTTCTGAGAGTCCATTATTTATCCTTTCACAACTTAGGTGGAATTCCTGTCAAATAAGAATAATACTTAATATGTGGGTATAGGCGTATGCACGCTTGTCACGTGGGCCTGTCCTTGAACAGCAGCAGTTGTGAGGGAAAATAGGCCCGGACGGGAGAATGTATACGCATTCTAATTATCAGTCTCCTCTTGCAGTGGCGCACACACACACACACACACACGCACACGCACACACACACACATACTGATGGCGTCATCAATTGTCAGATTATATAACCTCAAATGATATGGTGTGTAGCGATTATTGAATTCAGAAGGAAGTAAAATTAAGTGGTCATGGCATAATATGAGGTACTATTCTGGCATATGCCCGGACGGTGCGTTATCGAAGATAGACGTGCAGGCTTATGTCTTGTATTTTTGCTTCCTGACTGATCCTTGTAAAAATAAAAGCAAGTGAACTCCATCCCTTCTAGTACTGCCTTGTTGAGGTGAGACCCGTATTTCAGGCATAACAAGGTTACACATGCACTGAACATGGTTGAATTCGAGGGCATAGAATTTGGACCAATACCTGAGGAGCGCTACAATGACGTCATCAACCATCTGAGAAATAACTTTTTCGCCGATGAGCCCTTGAACCATGCCGTGTCCCTGTGTCGCCCTGGCGAGCCACACGCGGAACTAGAAGAGCACAGTCTGACAACATTGAGGGACGGTTTGTCGCAAATGGCTGTCCACACCGACACGGGCCAGGTGAGTTGTTGCCACAACAGCGGACTAGAATTTCTCAGCTTGGTTGCTTATCAAGCATAACTTACATGTCAGGAGAATAGGCTTGAAAGTGACGGTGATTTATATTTGTGGGTTTGCGCGAGCACTTGCAGAACTGTAGTTTTTATGACGACGCCTCACAACTCCAGCCCGTTCAATGTCTCTTCTCCTGACTCACCTACACCTGACCCAGTTATAGCTCTCAGTAAGAATGCAAGATTATGAATTGTGTAAAACTAGGGATTTAGGCCGTGACCTACTTTTAGGTTGGATTTTCTGAATGAAGAAATTATCTAAATTATAAACTTACGAAAGAAAATAAAAAGCATGGGCGATGTTATTACATTTCGGCTGGGATTCGAATGGTTTACCTCCAGACTGCAAATCAAACGCCTTACCACTCTAGATAGCAGAGGGACAATATATCCATGTGAGAAACTGTTGGAGCACACGCCTTACCTCTAATTTATGTCTAACGATGAATTCATAAACCCCACACATCCGTACAGTGTGTTGCTGTTCACTGCAGCGTTCAACACGGAAGTACGAGATTAGACTCCAAACACTTCACGTACGCGGATAACTGAGGCGTCTGAAGAGACCTTACAGATGACCTGCAAAAGACTCGCCAGAATGAAATGGGAGAGACAATGCTGAGGTGCCGTCTGGGCTGAAGTGTTTGACTGGAGTCGGGTTCAACCTGATTCTCTTCTTCTATATCTTCTTTTCCTTGTTTTATATCTCTTTAATTCGTTCATGCTTGCTTCGTTCTTCGTTTCTCCTAAATACTGCTTCATCTGTTTTGCTTTGTTTCTCTCTCATTCTTACTTTACGTTTTCTTTCTTATTTCTTGCAGCATTTCGTATTATCCACTGGGATTCTCGTGGCTTCCCAAGGTTTGGCGACCAGTGGACTTTCGGGAGAAAGGATATAAATATCCCACAAAGAAATACACTGATCAAAGGAAACTGTTAACGAATGAAAAGAAAGATCCGTGGTGGAACACCTGTATTTGATATGGCTGGACAGAACTGGGCAGATCTTTGGTCTTTCGCTATGTGGAAGACTTTATTTGTGGTTCAACGGAGATGTCTAACAACATCTCTTACATTAGTTCTACAGATTCAAAATTGAGACACAAACTTGCCGAAAAATTTGCGTGTTTGTTTACATGCATGCGTGTGGACAAACTGCTTCTCGGCGAAGTTAGAGCCAACTTTAGCGGATAGAGAGCGTCGCGTGGTCAGTGCAACGAATCCCCACGGCCGTTAATTTCGGTTTTCTAGACCGGAGCCACTATTTTCTTGAAATAACTCCTCAGTTATCATCACGACGCTGAGTGGATCCCGTTCCAGACCCACTACTTCTCAGAAAATCTGGTAGCGCCGGGAATCGAACCCGGACCTCTGGATCTGTAGCCAGGAACGCTGACCACTAGACCACAGAGGCGGTCATAATCTGTCTTACATACATTTTAATTGGAAACTTGTGTTTCCGGCATTGAAACATTCGGATAAGCCCAGCAAAGTCCTTCCTGTTATGTGCTCTGTAGCGTGCAAGGAATATCATTGGGTACTTCCACTTCCATTTCGTTATCCAAGCCCTACTAACGAGCTTCATGTGACCGTCTGTTTAGCCCCCGTTTCAGCACAATGCACGAAGATTAGTTAAAACACTAATACCGATTGTATTCAGTGGAATATGGTATCAACATTATGCCATTAGAAACCCATAAATTATTAGCGTATTAGAGATGATCTGTACACAGCTGTGCACGACGTGTGCGCCTATGTTCCTTTTAATTCTAGCTTTCCGTTCTGTAATGCCATTAGTCTTTCCTCGATGAAGTGCTCCGCTGAAGTTTGCGAGAGGGTTGACACCACAAAAGCCACAATATCCCATGTGATACCGAATTTTTAAATTGGTCTTCATATATCCTCAGCAATATTGTCAGCTGCTTCACTCTGGAATACGTCTAACAAGTTAGTCGTTACACCTTTCATGAGATTAAACCGAACTAAAACTGGTATTCGTTTTACTGATTTTCTCACCGTTGCATCCACACAAACGGTATCAAAGGTGGCTTTGCAGAAGTCCCTAGAGAATTCATCACTAGCATACATCGTGTCGTATTTGAAGATGTTCTGCTTGCTACCTTCTTCACGTTGATTTCTTGCTTGGCTTATTCTTCGATGTTAAGATTGAGCCGATATGTTCCTCCGAAACATCGGTTGAATTTCAGTGGACTACACGGCGTTACATACAGTGGGGTACAAATCTTCATAACCACCGCTGCAAGAACATTTCGTATTTATTCCAATTAAACTTTTCAGAATTGGAGTGCGTATTATATTTTTGAGGACGTGACTCATTCCTAGCACGATTATTTAAAAAAAATATGTTTCTGTTAGTATATGTCCACGATAACGTACATGCCTATATAACGTATTGCCGAAAAGCAACAAAGAGCTTTAGGTAAGAAATTGCAGGACTCGTTTCTGCCACTGATATTTTCAAGTATGAAGTACGTCCATATCACAAAGGCCAACACTTCTAAACGATATGTCTCGTTAGTGTCGTTGAAAGAGTTAAAGTCGCGGAAATATGTCTTATAGACTTAATATATAGCGGCACACACATTTGGCTTATATTCGTTTGATTTGCAGTCTATTCGGCTGTCTTTCTCTGATGTTGCAGTACATACATATGGCCTTACAGGTGATCGGGGTGGCTCTGAACGGTATCCAGCATCCTGGAGACATAGCCGCAGCCCAGGCGAAGCTGGAGACTATGGCGGACGTGAAGTTCCGGCGAATTTTCGATCTGCTGTACGGTGTCAACAGGAGCCTGGATCTCTTCAAGCAACACGGTGTGGACCGGATCTTCGAGTGCCGAATTCTGTCGGTGGACAAGAGGTTCCGTGGCCGGGGGTTGGCACGGGAGTTACTGCAGCGCAGCGTCGTCACCGCACGCGAGTCTGGATTCAAGGTGTCGGCCTTCTCGTGCGTCACACGATCCACTTTGCTTTATCAGAAAGTCGCCTAGAAGAAACCTGCATTGGAAGTTTCGAAATTTCATGCACTCCAACAGAGTACGAGAAGTTCCCGTGTTAGCAACGTCGGAAATATGAACGAAGCGGTTGTCTGACGTAATATTTCTATGGTGTAGCCCTGGGGAACCTCCTGCTGTATCTAAAAATGAGCGTCTGCAATCCTCACAAGGAAGAGGGAACTCATTTGATGGGAAGAATGCCGTCTTCTGGATGTGGTTCCGTGTAAATATTGTATAAACAGACGTTTCGGAGGATCGTGGCTGCAGCCACCTGGTCACGCTGGTTCCTCGCTCGCGGATTTTTTCTTCTGCCCTGAAGATGGAAGCGATACGATCCTCCGAAATGTAAGTTTATGGAATATCTACACGGCGCCATATCCAAGAAGACGGCATTCTTCATAGTCACCACCGTGAAAACCTCAAATCTAATGATGGGGATCACGTACATTAGGTCTGATTGCTTTAATGACGTGTTTGATTCCTGGCATTGTATTGTTTTCTTATGGCTTAGGAACGTAATTGCCAATTATACAATTGTGTCTATGGGGAATAGAATTCCTAACAAAATAATTACGCCATGCTATGTTGGGCTGATACGAGGAGCCAAAATTTAATTAGCCAAACAACTTTTAGTCTTGACTTCTATTAACTGATTTCATCGCAGATCCTCCAGTAGTTTCAGAGATTGATCATGTGGACACTTGACGAATGAGAGTTTCTGACTGTGCGTTTATGCACTTCACGTAATGATAGGATAAATGTATTTTACTCGGGGCTCACTTAGTCGGGTTTGGATGAGATTTCCGTCGGAAGTGGTGGGAATCCTCTCTTCACCGCCATGCCCAGGATGCTTATGAATCCGGTCCAATATTCTACACTACCGGGAATGCTTTCTTTAGGTTAAACGCGATCATACTTATTAGTCGAAATTAAGAATGCGCCGAGCTTCACTTCCATGTCACCTGTATGATTTAATTGTGTGGTGCTATGCATAGGAATGAGGTTGCCTTTTGTAACAGGAACGAAAATCTCCTAATTATTTTTTCGATAAGTTCCAGTAGCGTATAACTTCTTTCCTATTTCATAGACCACAGACTAAGACAAATAGGGACCAATTAGTGACCTTACCCTTAAATAAACTAAATGCACACGTATGTGAGTAAATACTTGTAATTATACATTTATGTTCTCTAAGATGTTTTCTATTTTGCATATACAAGTATACTCACGCTCCTATTCATGAAATATTTCGCTTCGTCAACTAAAAATATATCGAAGAGAATAAAGTCACTGAAAATAATGTAATATAAAGGTTATACTTTATAATATTGATATGACTGGATGGTATGAACGCAAAAGTAAACAAAAACTAAATGCACAACACAAAAATATCAAATAAAACTATAAGAAATAGATTAAATTGAATAAAATTTTCATTTAAATTCCAACCAAAAACAGGAAAGAAAATGTATAGAAAAGGCAAAAGTGGCTACATTTCCAGCAAAATATGGAGGCGAAGACTGTTTGTTGATTTAAGTAGACGTGTGGGGGATGGAGTAAAGAGTAAGACGGTCCTAAGATGCACAGAGATTCGNTCTTTATAAATGATTATGATGACAATGATAATAATATAAAAATAACAATAGTAATATAATAATAATAGTAGGGGGTGTGGTGTAAATGTTTACATTATGGCCTCCTATATTTTGTGTAAAAATTAAAACCACGGTTATTATGAGAAATGTGCTAACCTCTTCTGGGACTCTTCACGAACATTCTCAGACAACATTGATTGCTACATAATTTTTTTTATTAGCTATGGCATTAATAAGTAACCAACAAGTCACTCACACATTTTAACGGGAATTTTATAGCTATAAAATTTATGTAGCGTCGAATGAGGTACGAAAATTATAGATGAAGTACAAGTAATCGAAAGTATGTACTTGTGACTTACTCGTACTTCAGTACAAAACCTCTGCAAGTCCTCACATGGGATTCCAGTTTTCCTGACCGAGTATTATTCTCTGCACTAATTTTCATGTACCGTGTACTCCTTTTTCAAGGGATCACAACGTGTTTATTGCAGACGTGAACGCTTATGTTGTAATACGGCTTGCAGGTGTTCAAGGAGGACGCGACAGGGTTCTTCTCGCAGCGAGTGGCCGAGAGTCTGGGTCTCCAGACGGTTCGTCAGATCCGCTATTCCGACTACATGGCAGAGGACACGGGTGAGGTTGTGTTTAAGATGCCTGCACCTCACGACACCCTCAAGATCATGGTTAAAATTCTTCAGTGATCGTCATGCCGGCATGTACCACGGTGCAGCCAGAAGCAAGAACACTTCCCTGCATCTTGTTTCAACCTTAAGAACTACGTAGCGCACATACCGAGCGACACCATACTTCTCATAATGCTGTCCTTCACACCTGTCGTTTGCCCATGAAATTATTAGTGTGGAATAGGCGTGAAAAACGCGTATATCGAAAGCAGTAACGAGGTAAAATAGAAATAAGGAAGAACTAAGAATCTGTGTGTCGTTACTGTGGAACGAAGTAGTTAAGCTACATGCACACAGACGTCAATGGCATGTGTGTCGTATGTTGACATCACATCTCTCGGATATGGGCAGTATAACCCAACGTTAAATCATAAAATATTTTCTGTGCAGAATATGTGGACATATTACCTTTGTGTTTCATGTTGTCTTATCGTTCTATAAAAATGCAGCAAATCACTAATAGTATCGCAAATTCTACTGCCCATTATACTCGTAAGTATAGTCATGAGAAGTGTATCGTTTGACATCACGTGCTCTGTCTTTCATTTATCATTTGCATAACCCGTGTACGCATATTCTGAGTGTGAAGGTGATAGTATGAAAGAAATATGCAAGATGGGATTAAATGGGCTATAACTATTCGAGTGAGTTCAATTTAAAGATAATGATCTCAGTATCCTCCGACCAGCGTAGACACAGAGAAAGGAAGTCTAAAACACCTGAATACATTTAAGTAAACATGTGTAAATACTGAGCTTGTTGCATATATATAATTATTTTTTTCTTTCAGTATGAATTACAGAGCGTGGAAATAAAATACCTGTTAATGTATTTATTACTACCAGCTGAATAATTTTACAGTTTTGCCAGGTCTCATTTTGTTAACCGTGTGTATGATTAAAATAAAATACATGAGTTTCAAATAATTCGATTGTCTAAGAAGTAGGCAGGTGGCGTTCGCTTTACGGTAGGGACGGAATGGTTCTCTAAGCTACCGCGTTTAGATTGGCTCTGGGGTTCCTGACAGGTACAGAAGGGTTTTCGTTGTGAAGTCACGTAAGCGCGAAGCTCTATAATATAAAGAAGTTTCAAGCGCGGACATTTAACTCTACATCGACTACATGTCTTCATGTTATAATGTTAGGCACGAGAACCATAGAAGCAATGCAGTTGTCGAGTGTTCACAAAACCTGTTTTCTTCAATGTTTGATATTCACTCTCAGGGGAAGCGTGTCCTTTCATATAGTCCGTGAATTCTACATTCGCTGTGCACATTTGTAGCAAGAGTTGAATACCCGACCCTCTGAAACACGAATTTCTTCTAAATATTATTTATTCAGTTCTAACTCGTACTAAACACTATGTCTCCATTATAATGAATATTTTGGTTAATGATCTTTGGGGAAAAAACTGTTGATAATTTTAGAATCATACAAAACACATAAATGCACTCTGTGAGCAAAATTGCTCCCTTCCAAAGGTTGTTCGTCCCGAACAGATTTGTAATGTTCAAGCAGGTGCTACACAGTATACTAAACACTGTGCTTTAAAAAGGGTCAACAAAACTTCACACAATATTGCACAAAGTTCATGAGAAGGAAAAGAAAACTTCTAGTCACCCGACTAGCCATTCCAATTTTTCGCCTGTCGATGTAATATGTGCTACGAGAGCCCACTTATCATATCGGTGGATAAGAAGTACACCCACTTCATGGTTCTTAGCCCTGGTCGAGATTTTCCTGTGGATTTCTTCTAAGGACACTGTGCATGTCGAATGAGCGGCACTGAAACACAGCAGCAATCCCACTGCTGATCAGAACTCGATATTGTCTTGACGTTTGCAAGCTGTGAATCGAGCACATATGAAGTTATACTGATTCACAGTCATCTTTCGCATTTTGCCATTCTGCCATTTTGAGTACTTTCAGTCACACTATAAAAACGTGCAGTGTTGATCTGGAAGGATTAATTTGTCAATCTTCATATCCTGTGCAATTTAATTTTCCTGTTTCCCCTGTTCTCTGTTGTTTGTGTCAATACATATGTATTGCAGTCCTTCGCATGGTTTTAGGCCCACCGTTTTCTTACATGGAACTGATTGATGATCGCCTTATGTACGGGCGAAAATGAATGTCAGAAATGTCACTACATAATAATTGCAATGTAGTAATGCAACTATACAATACATGTCCATGTATTTGCCTTTATTTATATAAATTCTCCGTCAATTTAAATGTTGATATATGTGTACATATGTTGGTTACTAATCAGTGTCGGAAAATAAAAAAAATGATATAGATGCAAAAGTGAAATAAACAAAAGGAATAAAATGTAAATATAGTAGTATAAATGGTATTGTGGCGGGTTGCTCAAAGCATTAAAATACGGAACCACAAAACCCCGTGTAATGCAGTCAACAACAGAACTTCGGTCATCTAGTAGCGAAGGTCTCAATAATCACAACAGAGGAACTATTGAAGACATCGCTTCCTAGGCAACGCACATAGCAAGAGGTTTCCTTTGCAACGGTTAGGTAAACACTGTTCTCACAGCCACAGAAAGGACGTTTTTGAGACAACAGAGAAATCAACTATTCGACTCGGTGTCCTCTATTCGGCACGCCAAGAGCTACCTCAGGAGGATTACTAGAAGAATACTAGATATTAGTGGAGATGAGAATCCAGAAGACAGAGTACGACAGAAGGCAAACAGAAGTCAGAAGTGAAGTCTTTATTTTATGTGATGTAGTTACAGTAACCTTTATAGTGTTATCATTGTTCGTAGTTACGAAGTGTTATAGTTACAGTAAGACTGAGTGTTACAACTAATTGTAGTTCCGCCCGGTGAATATGAATATCCCATAAATCGACTCACCAATCCAAATCCGCGTCTGAAGTCACAATACACGTAACAGTATACTGAAACATTATATTACAATTAAATTTTCTGTGCAAAAAACTTCGGTTCCAAAGGTGTCGAAATGTGTAATTATGAATGCTGGAATACAGAATTATGGACATTTCCCAAAATGTATGTTACGCAGTAGCCAGTGATATAATCCCGTGGATATTTCACTGGTAGGTCTCAATATGATGATGATTGTTAACGCGATTTATCAAACGCTGATTACCACTCGTTAATTTGTAATAAAGATTTATATGTTCAAAAATGTTCTTTTCCATACTCTGACACTGACTTTTATGGAAATAATCATGGCTGTCAACATCCTTACGAAGTGATAGTTTCTTCATTTAACACATGGAGATTACTTAAAATGAAATTTTCCATATAGACCATACTGTACTTCTCTTGTAGCAGAAATTGTCACCAATAATGTTTACTATAGATTATACAAAACGGTCTCTACCTGCATGGGCAAGTAATGGACCAAACCCTACGTGTTATGTAATTAAGAGCTTGACCAATCGTGCACTCAGGATATGAAAGCATTAATTCTGGAATATCGATAAGTCGATAAGGAATATTTTGATAACTGCGCATATTGCAGTTATAAATATGTTGTCGATACTAACATTGTAGTACAGGACAAACTTCCAAATTATTTACTTTTGGATACCTTGACGTTTCGATATTGCTTCTAGTAATGGCATATGCATTACAGGTAATACTGGAAAATCAAGTCTCTGAAAAAACTGAGTTATATTTGTAGCGTTCGACAGGACAGTAACCTTCACTTATGATTTCAAGAAATGGAAACTCCGGTATTTCTCTCTCACACGGAAGACTCGGCAATATTAGTAGCCATCTTCAAAGAAATACACAGCTATTCAAACTGCACCTTCATGTACGGAACTTATTTCACTTTACAAAGAGATCTCTGTAACGGAACTTACTTCACTTTGCAAAGAGGTCTCTGTAACGGAACTTACTTTGCAAAGAAATCTCTGTAACGGAACTTGCTTCACTTTGCAAAGATCTCTGTAACGGAACTCACTTCACTTTACAAAGACATCTCTGCAACGAAACTAACTTCACATTACAAAGAGACCTCTGTAACGGAACTTACTTCACTTTGCAAAGCGATCTCTGTAAGGGAACTTACTTCACTTTACAAAGAGATCTCTGCAGGTAAAAACGAGCTTAAATCGCTACCGCAGAAGGAATGTTCGCATATGCCTGTGTTAAACATGGCCTGTCCGCTCTACTGACTGGTCATCGAAATCGATTTTGCTTATGTTCGATCGAAAAATTTCCAGCGTATGGACAAATAATGCTACCGCAACGAATGTTATGTCTTGTGCCTTATGTTAACAAACTCTCTATGGACTTGTGTGAAACCCCGCTTAAATTTGAAAATCACTTCTTGTGTGAAGTGGCAATGCTTACAGGGTTAGAGGGTGACCTAAAGGTTTGGTGTCAGTATTGGAAAAGAGAAGAGGATAAAGAAGTTCTAACTGATGCTAGTAAGGAGGCTAGTATAGAGGCAAACATGGAGGAAGCTAGGATATGTTTATGTCTCGCTTCCAGATTGAGGGGAAAAATCATAACATAAAGCTAGCTAACAGATCATTTGAAAACGCGGAAAGTTAAAATATTTCGGAATGATATTAACATGTCAAAATTTGGTTCATGAGGAAATTAAGAGCATATTAAATTCAGATCATGCTTGCAACCATTCAGTTCAGAGCCCTTTGTCTTGTTTGGTGTCCAAAAATGTTAAACAGAGAAAATTTATAAGGTGGGGCTACATAACTTGTCCCCTTCACCAGTTATGATAGATTGATCAAGTCAATGAGGATGAGATGGGTACAGCAAGTAACACACATGGGGCAGCAGATAAATGCTCACAACATTTTGGTGGGAAAGTCAGATGGAAAGAGACCTCTAGGAAGACTTAGATGTAGGTGGGAGGATAATACTAAAGATCATAGAGAAGCAGGATGGGGTGGTATGGGCTGGATTGATCTGGATCAGGATAGGAACCAGTGGCTATCCCTTGTGACCACGGTAATGAATCTTCAGGTTCTATAACTTGTTGGGAAATTCTTCAGTAGCTGAGTGACTGGATGCTTCTCAAAAAGGATTCAACTCCAGGGAATTAGGCAGAAGGCAGAGCTCGATCCAACAAACTACTACAAGTGCTGGATGGGTATGACACTGTCATCATGCCTACAGAACATGATTTTCAGCAGAGGAGCAAATAAATTATAAGGATTTGTCCTACAGAAAATCTGCCTTCCTCCACGCAGAGAAAATAAATAAAGTTACTATGTGGTCATGTAAGACTGGGTACAGATGCCATGTATAAAAGGCATCATGAAGGGCAGTATCATAAAGAGGAGAGAGATGCTGTGCAGGTAGACGAAGATTTCAAAATTGTGTTCCACAGATTCGTGGTTCATATCTTTGCCAGGCCACTTGCTATCGATTCTAGTCTTCTGGGTTGTAACATGGTGTAGTATTACAGGTGGATATCAACGTTCTGGAGGAACATGATCCCTCCATCTTCAGGGTCAGAGAGCTCATCTGAAAAGTTATTCACCTTAAATGCTACACTGTGTTACAATCCAGATAATAACATTCTGAATACTAATCACCATGAAAGCCTGAAAACTTGCATCCTTAGGTTGTTAGCTGTTAATTTATTTGGTGCCGTTCTATCAAGTACATAGGACATAAATATGAATGGATGAATGACAAAATATCGAGGTTATCGAAAGAGGCAGTCATGAACTATAGCATGACACCATCATAGAATATTTCAGAAAGATCTCAATCTTCAAGGTGAAGTGAATACCCAATGCCCCCTTACTGATACAACACAAGCCACTTGCTGGATTACTCATAGCTCCTCTTACAGAGGTAGTACATTTCTACGAAACATAGCAAACTTCTACTAGATACATTGTGTTATATCTCACAAGCCAGTACCCTTTGTAGTCACATAAGCCTCAAATCTGACTCTATTCTCAGGCCACAGATATTTAGCTATACTTAAGATATGACGGGTTTCATTTCTGCTATTCAGCTTCTCAGATTAATAATTCATACCAGTGATCCTATCTACACCATGGTCTTCCAAACAACCCCTTTACTATCATATTGTGACATGATGTTTGAAAGCCGAAAGACATCCATTAGTAAGCAACGGCTGGATAAACATTATGTGACCGTGGCAACATACGCACGGAACACAGGAAATGTTGGCAGTGGTGTTTTCTATTACATCTGCCCCAAGGGCAAGAGTGCAGGCATAAGTCATACCAAATCACAAGAATGAACATCTTCACTGCATATGACAAGGTGAAGCCAGACACAGAAAATATAAGAGGCTTAAACTTGGTGGCAGTGAAGCTTATGACTGCTCAAGTGACTAAACTGCTGTTGTAGCATAAGATAAGTAAGATATGCATGATCTACTTTGCAAAGCCTGGAATGACAGAGAACTTGCTATATATTGTAAAGGGAAAGATTTTCAGTCTCATGCTATATATGCGATATTTACACTTGACAAAGGCCGAGCATATTCACAAGAGACAAACCCATCCTCTTGTTGGAGAGGATGTTACACAAGAACTATGACCAAAATGGTTCAGTTGCAAAATGAAAGACTCTGGGCATGAGCCTCAAGGGGCTTAATGCCAAGAGCTGGCAGCAAACCGCTAGTCATAAAGTAGTTAGTTAGTTATTGGAGAGGGTGGGTTTCCCCATGCACTGAGACCTGTATTGGTCCACTGTGCTTCCCTCTATGATTTCTACCAGTCTCTATATCCTACTGGTACTGGTGCTTACCATTAGTCCCGCCCAGCCACCGAGACCGGCTCTACTAGTCATAAAGTAACTCTAGCTCTGAGTGAGTGAGTGAGTGAGTGAGGTTGAATTTCCCCATAGCTTTCATCCAACAAGCCTCTTGTCTGGTATGGCCAAACTGAGAAGCTGATATTAAGAACAATCCAAAAACACACTGAGGAAAAAAACTTATCAAAGGCAAGTAAGTTTGGCTTTCAAGCAGATCACAGTACAACACATCAAGGTATGATGCTGGCGGATCATGTCAACCTAAATGTTGGCAATAATATGTCGATAGCTGCTGTGGTCTGACCCACTATATAAACTGTCAAAATTAGAATTTTCAACAAGTCTTCTTTTCTCACTGACAGAAGACCTAATGTTTTGGTAGAAGGCGAATTTTCTATTCCAAGAAACTTAGAGGCAGGGGGGTGTTTCAAGGTTCCATCCTTGCCCAAATATTGTAAACACCATATATAAATGATGTCTCTGCAGCATCTCAAATTCATCTGGCTCTCTTTGTAGATGATACTTGTATTTACATGAA